CCAAAACTGAATCAGAAAGAAGCAGAAAGCCTGAACACACCAATAACAACTATTGAAATTAAAGCAGTAATAAAAAATGTATGGCACACAAAAGCCCTGGATTAGATGGCTTCACAGGCCAATTTTATCAAACATTCTGAGAAGAACTAACCCCTATTTTTACAATTTCAAAAATTCTAGAAGAGGGTGGACTCCCAAACTTTATTTACAAGGCCAGTATAGTCCTAACTCCAAAACCAGGTAAAGACACAACAAAGAAAGAAAACTACAGGCCAATATCTCTGGTGAACATAGATGCTAAAATCCTCAAAAAAATATTGACACTCTGGATTCACCAATACATTTTAAAACATCATACACCATGATCAAGTGGGGTGCATCACAGGTATGCAAGGATGGTACAATATTCACAAATCAATAAACATAATACATCACATAAACAAAATGAAGGATAAAATTACATGATCATATCAATAGATGCTGGAAAAGCATTTGACAAGATCCAGCACCCATTCATGATAAAAACTCTCAGCAAAGTGCGAATAGAGAGAACATACCTCAACATAATATAGGCCATCTACAAGAAACCTACAGCCAACATCCTACTCAATGGTCAAAATCTAAAAGCTTCCCCTTAAGGTCAGGAACAAGACAAGGGTGTCTGCTTTCATTACTCTCATTCAACATACTACTGGAAGTTCTAGCCACAACAATTAGACCATAAAAAGAAATAAATGCATCAAAATTGGAAAAGAGGAAGCAAAACTGTCACTATTTGCATACAATATGATAGTATACATAGAAAATCCTATAGTCTCCACGAAAAAACTATTCAACCTCACAAGTGAATTTAGCAAAATAGAGGAATACAAAGTCAATATGCAGAAACTAAAGACATTTTGATACACTAACAATGAAATATCAGAAACAAAAACTAGAAAATAAACCCTCATTTTCTATAGCAACAAGAAAAACATAGTACCTGGGAATAAACTTAATTAACCAAGGAAATAAAAGAACTGTACTTGGAAAACTATAGAACACTGAAGAAAGAAATTGAGGAAGATACAAATAAATGGAAGCATAGACAGTGTTTATGGATTGGAAGAATTAACATCATGAAAATGTCCATATTAGCCAAAGCAATCTATAGATTCAATGCAGTTCCCATTAAAATATCAGTGTCATGTTTCACAGATTTAGAAAAAAATATTTTGAAATTTACATGGAACTGCAAAATACCCAAATAGCCTCAGCAATCTTGAGAAAGAAGAAAATAGAAGGAATCACAATTCCTGATATCAGGCTATACTACAAGGCCACTGTAATCAAAATAGTCTGGTACTGGCATAAGAACAGACACATAGATCAATGGAACAGAATAGAGAGCATAGCAATAAACCCATATCTCTACGGTCAATTAATACTTGACAAAGGGGGAAGAATCATAAAATAGAGTAAAAATAGTCTCTTCAACAAATGATATTAGGCGATCTGGACAGCTACATGCAAAAAAGAAAAAGAAAGAAACTAGATCATCAAGATACACCATATGTCAGAGTAAACTCAAAAGTAACAGAAAACTTGAATGTAAGTCATGACACCATAAAAGCCCTAGAGGAAAACATAGCCAGTAAAATTTCAGATATCCCAAGTAGCAATATTTTTGCCAAAATAATACTAGGACAAGGAAAAAAAAACAAACGAAATTACATGAAATTAATTTTTTTCTGCATAGCTAAAGTAACCATCATCAAAATGAAAAGGGAACCGACTGTATGGAAGAACATATTTGCCAATAATATATTAGGTAAGGGTGTGAGCTCCAAAATATGTAAAGAACTCATTCAACTCAACACCAAGAAGACCAACAATTCAAGTAAAAAATGGCCAAAAGACCTGAATAGACAATTCTCCAAGGAAGACATACAAATATCTCATAGACATATGAAAAGATGCACATCACTAGCCATCAGAAAGATGCAAATTAAAACCACAGGAGATATCACCTCACACCTCTCAGAATGGCCATCATTAATAAACCAACAAACAACAGGTGCTGGTGAGGATGTGGAGAAAAGGAAACCCTAGTGCACTGTTATTGGGAATGCAGACTGGTGCAGCCACTGTAGAAAACAGTATAGAGTTTCCTCAAAAAAATAAAAATAGAACTGTCTTTTGACCCACCAATTCCACTGCTGGGAATATACCCTAAGAATTCTGAAACAACAATGCAAAAGAACTTGTGCATCCCTATATTGTGCTCTGCTATTAAAAAGAGCAGAGCTATTTTCAATAACCAAGTACTGAAAACAGCCTGAGTGCCCATCAGCAAATGAGTGGATCAGAAAAATATGATACATTTACACAATGGAATGCTACACAGCACAAAGAAAGAAAGATACCCTACTTTTCACAACAGCATGGATTAAACTGAAGAATATTATGCTAAGTGAAATAAGCCAGTGGGTGAAAGACAAATACTATATGATGTTACCTCTAAGAGAAACCTAATGAACAAAAATAAACTAACAAACAAAATAGAACCAGAGACATGAAAACATGGAACAGATTGACAGTGATAAGAGGGCAGGGGGCCAGGGATAATGGAAAGGGAAGGGACTAGTCAAAGAATATGTGTGAAGGACCCATGGACATGAACAATGGTGAGGGGATTGACTGTAGAAGTGGGGGCTGGCTGGGCAGAAGAGGGATAATGAAGAAAATGGGACAACTGTAATAGAATGACAATAAATAATTTTTAAATAAAATAAATAAGATGGAGATTATTGCATATTATATTGACTCTCTTAAAATGTAAAAGGCTCATCAAAACCTTAACCACTGTTTTAGTAACTCACTATGTCCCCCATTTCTTTGGACTTTCCCACATCACAAGGCCTATTTAGATAATGTTAAAAAATATTTTCAAGAATGAACTATGGTATGTATTGGTTAAAATAATAAAAAAGTACAATTTTGAACCTATGATTTTTGGAGATTATTTCTCTCCTTCATGTAATTCAGTGTCAAGGTTAATCTATAAATAAAAGTCAAAATCAAGAGGCCATCATTGTCTTTTCAACTTGGGCCATAATGATATTGTAATATATTTTGGATGTTCAGGTAGCAATATTGATTTGGATCATATATTGCTACCTGATCTATAGAAGTTAAACTCTCCTATATTTCCCTTTATAATAAGTATAAATAGTACATTATTATCATTAGAAATAAATACAAGAAGCACCCAACGAGGAACACGCCAAGGCACATCATAATTACATTAGCCAAGATTAAAATGGAGAGAATCCTAGAAGCAGCAAGAGATAAAGAGACACTAACCTACAAAGGAGTTCCCATCAGACTGTCAGCTGATTTCTCAAAAAAAGACCTTCCAGGCAAGAAGGGGCTGGAAAGAAGTATTCCAAGTCATGAAAGGCAAGGACCTACATCCAAGATTGCTCTATCCAGAAGAGCTTTCATTTATAATGGAAGGGCAAATAAAGTGCTTCTCAGATAAGGTCAAGTTCAAGGAGTTCATCATCACCAAGCCCTTATTTTATGAAATGTTAAAGGGGCTTATCTAAGAAAAAGAAGATAAAAAACATGTATAGTAAAATGACAGAAAACTCATTGTCATTTTACCATACACATTTTACAACCACACCTAAAACAAAAACAGAAACAAACTAAACAAGCAACTAGAACAGGAACAGAACCATAGAAATGGAGATCACATGGAGGGTTAGCAACAGGGGAGTGGGAGAAGGAGAAGGGGGGAGAAGGTACAGAAAATAAGTAGCATAGGCGCTAGGTAGAAAATAGGGGGAGGGCAAGAATAGTATGGGAAATGTAGAAGCTGAAGAACTTATGACACATGGACATGAACTAAAGGGGGGGAATGTGGGTGGGAGAGGGTGTGCAGGGTAGAGGGGAATGAAGGGGGAAATGGGACAACTGTAATAGTATAATCAATAAGATATATTTTAAAAAGAAAGTAAGAAATATAAGAAGCACAATATTGGAACATTGAATAACTATTAATTAAACCAAAAAAACCCTGAAATATAAAAAATTCCTTCCCTTTTTGCCTTAATTTCTTTCACTTGATTTATTTTAACTGTCCTTTTGTGTTCAACATAATCTGAAATAACCTTTGTTTTCTTGCCCACAATTATGTTCTTATTCACCAATATTTATTAGCATAGAGTAAGAGAAAAATATACTGGCTTTGGTTTAATGAGTGGATTATTAATATTCAGCTATAATCATAAATATCCCTATTTTCTTAATTCAATTTACAGATTCTACTAAATGCTGAAGAAAATATAATAGCTTCTCCAGTAACACATATGTCAAATAGATCTCACGAATTCTACCTGAGTTGGAATTCTTTTTTACCAGCATCTTACAGTATACTTACACTCCCCAATATAAGAGGGATATGTCCACACTTTATCTCAAGGTCACAAAAACTGACTGAAACGTAAAGTATTTGCTTTGCTGTTGTTTTATTCTACTGACTAACTCCTACCTTTTAAACATTAACACCATAAAATTAGGAGAACTGAATGGTTTAAATTAATCTCATTTTTATTTAACTTCAAATAAAAATAGATAATAATTTGACATTTGACATCTTATAATTTGTAAGTACGTACTAGAATATTTCATTTCTAAAAAGGTTGGAGTATATATGTGAGTTCCATAAAACCTAATAAATAACTCAAAGTAATTGTATTATTCTATCTGATCAAACAGAGGCAACCCAAGTAATAAATGTAATTCTTACATTATGCAATTTCTGTAGTTGTAAATAAATAAAAATAAGTGTACATTTTTTTTGCAAAAGTAATAAACTATGTTAAAATATAAAATTGTAATTGACACTTTATATTATAATCCCTATTAGCTAATTGACAGTTCGGTTGGACAGGAAAGCATTATGGAGAATCGGTGTTATGCATTCAGGGAAACCTGAAGCACAATTCACTTACCCAGGAAAATGAAGACGATCATGCTGTACGACTTGGGCTGTTCTCCTGAAAGAAAGGCAGCTGTATTCTCTCCAACCACCTTCTTAACAGTAATTGTGCAGAATAAGCCCTCAGCTTCTGCCCTTGCTTCCTAAAAGCATTACTGATTCAAGTCATCTTCCTATGTCACCATTTCCTCACCAATCTTTTCTGAGCTGCAAACTTTCCTAATTATGTCCAAATTCAATTATTTTGTTCTGTGTGTGCTGATCTCAAATATTACACTTCCAAAAAAGCCCACAAGCTAGATACTAAAAGTGATACATAGCCTGCACTTCCATGGAAAAGCCCCCCCTGCACAGCTAGAATACTAAACAGTGTAAAAGACTGCCAATGATAACCCAAAATTTTCCTAGACACTTGAGCTTGCTTAGTTTCCACTTTATTAATTAGCCTCAGTAAGGTAATTTTGTGTCTTTTGAGGATATAAAAAAGGAGATAAAGCATCAGAGCTTCCCCAGAAGATGTATGGAGAATTCCAGACCTACTAGTTTGAAACTAGTGTACTTTATCTTGCCAAGTTAGATCTCTAACATGTCCCACAAAACCTAGGATGCTTAAGAGGTGTGCTGCTCCAGCTACCATTTCTCAAAGCCTCCAAACACAGTGAGCATGATGTGGAAATTCTGTTTCCCTGAGAATGTAATCTTCCACATGTGCTCATCACTTGACAACTATTTTTCTCTTAGCTTCGATGAGAAGCATTGCTATTGTCTAGAAGAATATTTATGCCCACCAGAAATTCATATGTTAACATTCTAAACCCAAACGATGACAGGATGAGTAGGCAGCAAGTTTGGGAGATGCTCAAGTTGTGAGTATGAAACCCTCATGAATTGGGTTAGTGCCTTGAAAAGAGGCTCCAGAGAGATTCCTTGTTCCTTCCTTCCACCTTGTGAGGACACAGTGAGAAGGTGCCAGCTGTGAACCTGTAAGAGCACCCTCATGAGAACAATGACTATGCAGGTGCCATGATACTGAACTTCAGTTTCCAGAACCATGAGAACTAAATTTCCATTGTTTTATATGCCTCCCAGTCTATAATATATTGTTATAGCAAATATGTGGTGTCTGGGCTAGATAGGAATTATTTATCTCATCCTTTGATTGTGTTCTTCCCCACAAGAACCCAGAACACATCCTCTCCTATGAGGTATCATGAGACTTCCACTTTTAAGCCCCCTGAGACCTTTCTGTAATGGATGCTTAGAAATATAAAATGCAGGCTGGACAAAAAATCAGGAAAAAATAGGTGTAGATAACCAACTATTGATATGGGAGGAAGCATTTGCATATATACAGTTATACAATGAAAGCATTATTGATTGCAATTGTACATCTTATTTTACACTAGGAGATAAGTTATAGTTTGTCTTCAGAATGCATGGTGAATAAACACAGTCTCTGCAGCCAAAAAAACTGAAGTTGTAATGCTGTTTTTCTCTACAAATGTAGGCAAATGACTTTACATAGGAAGTTACATCAAAATTTACTCCTCTGTAAAAATGAGCTAATTGTATTCTTATAAATATTAAGTACATAGGTAGGATTTATATCACAGAGAACAGTGAGTACCAGTCATATTGTACCCAATCACTTAATTATTATTTAACAAAATAATTATAATGTCATAAAATTAATCAGTTGTTTCCTTTTACAGGCACTGAGTCACAAACTTGTATTATTTTTACAAAGATAATTGTTCTTTTTGATATAAGCCAACTAAAAACAGCTTAAGCCAGAGAGGATTTCGGTGGCTCTGTTGCTTCACAAACTGGTCCCCAAACATCAATGGCAAGGGGAGATCTAAAGGAAGCAGGCCACTCCAGACTGATAGGTGATGGATTTAATAGGCAAGGGAACTTACCTGTGATGACGCTTGTCTTGGGTAACTGAAAGATTAGTAGATCTCTGCATCCGTCTGCCAGAATTGTCAAAGTTTATATAAAAGCCTTTACTGGGTTCAGTCACATATTCAGTCCAGATGGTCTCAACAATACATTATTCTCTTGTGGTTATGTCCTTGAAATAGCTTCCTCTGTGGGAACTGTGAACAGAACTCGCATTCCAGGGACAGGGGAAGGGCTGAGGAGCCTGCAGTTGCCGAGTTCAGCCTGAGGGTCAATGGGCAGTCACGTCCTCTTCTTGACCTCCTCCAACAGGCTCCCATAGTTGAAGAGTACAGGTGTAGAACTGATTTCAGGCATGTTTTAAACCTTGTCTTTTGGGCCTGAGGGTGTTTTCCTCGTCTTGTCTCTGAGCTGCTTTCTTCTTCATTAGCTTCACTCTCAGGCAGCTTTTTTCCTTCAGGAGGAAAACAGTTTTCAAGTCCTGGGGATGCATTCTTTTCTCTTAGAAGGCAGTGTTGGAAGTGTGAGTCTTTCCTTATTAAAATTCCAGAATTGACTTGCCTGAGTTCTACATGTGTCTTGTGCCCATCATTTTCACCAGTCAAAAATGATCCCACTTGCTGTCCAGCATCACAGGTGGAGGTAGAGGCGGCCCTATTCCAGCCACAGGTACTGTTGGGAGAGGAGTACATCACCGAGGACAATCACTGTATTAAAAGAACTCCATGAAAGGATCCTGGGAAGAAGAAAAAGCAAACATACTCAGCAAAGCATGTAAATGGTGAATTTATGTAGAGCTACCACAAGCTAAATAAACCAATGAAACAAAGGAAAAGAATACCAACCAAAATACAATGTCCTGTTCAAGGGAGGTTTTATAACTATGACTTTCTAGAGTAATACCCAGGCCTGAACGTACGACCCTGAGTGAGTGAGGCTGATCTTCACCACACGGGTACAGCTGCTGAGGTCTATCACACAGGTGTAGAAAGCACCTGTTCCGTGGTCCTGTATCTGCTTATCCCAAGATAATTATCAGCTGTATCACCACCTAAATCAGGGGACTTTGGTGTCTCGGTGTGCCAGCAGCGCCTTTTCTCCATCTTGCCATGACTGTTTCAAAGGTCCAATTTTAAAACGATTGCAAAGGGCACTAACCATATTGAAATATATTTATCAAAATATTTTTAAAACAAATTTGTGAGAAAGTAATATATATGCTACTTTACTACAGGTGTAAATGTCAAGATCTTGATGGGTCCAAATAATACTATGGTGATGACAAAAATGCTAATGTGGGATAATTTCCATAAATGTCGTATCATAAAAAACATCTGTAATTTCTATTGGTGACAATGATAGTGCAAGAAGTAGTGAATATCAATCGGAGTTTAGTAAAACAGTACATAATTTTTCCCCAGGAAAATCTGCAGAAAGCTCAAATTAATAAACCTTATTCTAATATCAATGAAAACAGTACTTTTAACTCAATTACTCAAATGAAAACCAGCCATCAAACCAGAGCATTTTAGAGGTGAGAGGTAATAAAAAAATCATCAGTTTCAATAGTTTACAGTGATAATTGGTCTGAGATTTAAATATATGCTTTTAATAGCATGCTAGTAATGAATAAATAAAACAGGAGAAAGTAGAGTTGATTTGGTTGAAATCTGGGTGGGAAGCCCAGCCTCTGTTCAGTAATAGCCTTTGCCATCACCACCCACAGTTGCCAGTGAGCACCCAAAGTTTCCTGGACTCCTATTGAAGCCCACTGAGCTCATTTAGTTTTCCCCATAAAGAATCCATTCCTATAACAGATAAGTGAAATGCATAAGACCTTATACTTTATCACTGGGTAAAAGACACTAGGGTTTTTATTCAGCACATAATTACTACAAAGCCCACTATATGTGACCAAGCCTTCAAGCAAAAACAAAAAAGGGGAATGGTCCCTCATTTCACAGATCAGATCAAACAGGGTGCCAATAAAGTTACATATAAGAAAAAAATTGTTGAAAAACAAAAGTGATAGTAAATCAGTGAGACAGCTATACATTAGAATACATTTTCTTTTGAAATAAAAACAAGGAAACTACTATGTTTAACAATATTTGACTTCATCTAAAACAACCCCTGCATTTATACTGTATTTGTCTACTTAAAATTTCATAAAACATTCATCTGGAGGAGAGAAATAAAATCTAATCAGCTTCTGATTTAGAGTCAACCTAAAATTTACAGTTCTGGAAAGAATGAATGTGTGTGTGTGTGTGTGTGTGTGTGTGTGTGTGTGTGTGTACACACTTATTTCCCTCTAAAACACTGTATAATGTCTTCCTTTACTAGTGTCTTAAAATAACTCTCTGTGTATGTATACACACACACATACATACATACATGGAGAGAGAGTTATTCTAAGATGCTTAGTAGTACAGGAAGACATATTATTTTGCAGGGAAATAAGATGTTCTTATTATCTTTACTGGAGGGCCTCTCTTAGAAAAGAAAAACGAGTTAAACATGATGGTGTATGTAATCACCTTACTATGAACTGCCTGCTGGTATCCTCCCTAAAATTCTGATATGAAGTAGCCATGAATGAGGGGACAGGACAGCCAGGATTGGGAGAAACCAAGAAACACCATGGAGACAGAACCCTAGGGTCTGTTCTGGGACTTCAGAAGGACTAAATTCGCTGAAACACTGAGCAGGGAAAAAAGATAAATAACTGTATTATGGGAAGAATTTTATGCCTTACCAAGATGACTAGTTAAGTCTATCCATAAAGAAAAGGGAGTGTATTAGTGAGTTTTCAAAAGAAAGCAACCAGGCTTGTGTATTGAAAAACTGCTTGAGCAATGAATACTATGGAAGATGTTTTGGAAGCAAAGATAATGACCAGTTTTGAGGCTATTTCAGCATTTTCACAGATGCATTGGAATGATTGAACTAAGTAGTAGTGATAATGGAGAGGAGCTGGTAGATCCTCTCCATTGTAAAAGATATTTACAGGATCTGATGAGCATTTAAGGTGGAGGTGGGATGGAAGAGTCTAGGGTGTATCTATACTTCTGGTTTGTGTAACTGGGTGTTGACTGTTGTAGTTTATTGAGATGCCTGGCTCACAAATCAATGCTCTATGTATGATACAAGGCTATCCACTGAAAAACTTAAAATTAGAGTGAGACAACAGTTTCCACAGTTCATGTGTCACTAGGGAGGATAGGTTGGTTATTTCCAAAAGGATCAAAACAGTTTCACAAGACAGCATCATTGTGGGTTGTTATTGTTGTTTGAGGTCTGGTTCTTACTTTATTAATAGGGTCAAGGATGGATTTGCCCTGTAGGACTTTACTAACATGAAACAAAATAATCGAAATGGAAATGTTAATTAGATTGCCAATTTATTTATTCACAGAAAGAATTTCAATTACTAGATAGTATATTTACTTTAGTTGGGCATGCCAATAGGGGAAAGCTGGTAGGTTCAAGATTTAGATTGAGGAGGATTTGTTCTATAGTTAATTCTGTATAACCTGAATACTTAATGGCTTCAGGTCAGAATGGTCTCAGATATCATTCTTTATGATAATAAGGTAAATGCTGCATTTTTGCTTTCTTTGGGTAAATTAATGTAGTCAAACAAAGCAGCCCGAGCTGCTGTTCCAGCTAAAATTAAACATCTCTCTTTGTGATTGAGTTTTATTGATTTTATAGTTTAAATTTTGGTACATAATCTTTCTTTCAAGCTCTTGAGAAGTATTGAAACCCTAACATACTAATAATATCCTTTGGTCTGACACAGATGATTTAAAGTTTTTATACTGAAACATCATTTATGATTGGGCCAGTCATAAGTCAAATGTATGACATGGATGGTGCTTGTATGCTCCTATTCCTAGCAGAAGACAGCAGTTCTGTAGAACTGCTTTGACTTTTCCGGGAAAATCTGTTAGTTAGTTGGGTCTAATTTTGAAGAATTTATGACACCTCTAAAAACAAAATCAAGACCAACTTCTGTAAAATATTTCTTTAAAGATTTTATTTATTTATCTTTAGACAGAGGGGAAGGAAGGAAGAAAAAGAGGGAGAGAAACATCAATGTATGGCTGCCTCTTATGCTCACCCTACCGGGGGTGTGCCTGCAACCCAGGCATGTGCCCTGAGTGGAAATCAAACGAGCAAACTTTTGGTTCTCAGGCCACCAGCACTCTATACACTGTGACACACAAGCCAGGGCTAGAAAATATTTTTAATGCCTTTAAATTTTGTTTTCTAACTCTGTGCTCTCTGCTTCCCATTTCATGTTAATATTAGAGTCTGAGCACACTCTGATCATCACGTTGGTAAGTTGTTATGTGTCTGCTGATTTGGCCATTTTATTATTAAATGGAGGAAAGATGAGTTATTACCAGATAACCTCAAATCACTATATATTTATATTTAAATTTAATATACCTTCTTTCTTTTGTTATAAAATAGTGTACCCTTTGAAATCAGGTCATCCATGCATGGTGCAAGCTTTGTCCTCCAGAGAAATAAATGATTGGAGGTAGGGAAAACTTCCTGTTAACTTACAGGCTGAACAGTTTTTGTAAGATTAATTCTCCCAGGGAAGTATTGGAAAAAGGATTTGTACATCCCACAGGACAATAACACCCAGGAACACGTTATTGTTAATATTGCTAATGCTACTAGAAACAGATTATACTATTTAAATTACCTTCTTTTGCTTTTCAAGGCAAATTTTGTTTCCATTTCAAAATATTTGGTAATTAAGTATAGCATTTGAAAAACAACTAAAAATGTTTATATTTAAATCACTAAGAGATAGCCATTATTTACCTTTTGGTATATATTTATTTTTTTAAACTTCTTTTTTAGATTTTATTTATTAATTTTTTAGAGAGAGGGGAAGGGAGAGAGAAAGAGAGGGAGAGAAAAATTAATGTGTGGTTGCCTCTCATGCACCCCCTGCTGGGGACCTGGCCCGCAACCCAGGCACGTGCCCTGACTGAGAATGGAACTTGTGACCCCTTGCTTCGCAGGCTGGCACTCAATGC